GTGTTTTGTGTGAAAATTGAAGACAAAGGAGTTAAACCGCAATAATACAATGCTCTACTACGATGTGTGACCTACGTTCTTAACCGTTTGTGTGACGGGAGGGCCACTAGTTTTTTTAATTTTAAAACGAGCGACGGGGGGGGGGGACCAGAAGCAGTGAAAGGTTAAAAAAAAGTGGGGGAAAGGGTTTCTGGTCGGGGAAGAAGACGAAGGGTAATATTTAATTAAGGGTATACCGTTTTTTTTTGGACGTTATATGTATAGCGTATAAATTCAAAACGCTATATATGTCAGTCAAATCGTCAGGCTATATAGCGTCCAAATACAAGACGCTATACCTTAACGGCAAAAGTTACCGTCAAGGTATAGCGTCTTGTATTTGGACGCTATATATAGAAAGGTAACTTTTTTTTTTTATACTTATTAATGTACTTTGAGTCCAAAAAAGCAATATTTAGGTTCCGGACTCCTAGAGTCTAAGGACAATTATTTCGGGATAAAATGTGCGATTATTTTATAATTTCGTATTTAGTTGAATCTTTTATTTTGATATAAGCAATTCTGAGATTATTTATACCGTAGCTGTGGTATTAGTGTTATGCCAGTGAGCTAAGATTAAATTTAAATTAAAAATAAAAGTTTATCCAAATGTATACTGTGTAAAACCAAATACGTTTTTATATATTAGAATATATCAATGTACCTCCTATAGTAAATGTTGATACCTTATTTATTTTAAATAAATACCATTTTAAAAAATTATATTCCATAGCTACCTTTTGATTTTTTATAGTCAAAAAATCTATTTATGATCACCTCCTACCCATAAGCCATAAAATAAGCTTTGTATTATTTCTCTCTCCACTCAAATTTCTCCTATCCCCTCAAATTTCTCGTATCCCCTACCCCATATCTATTCTCCCTCTCTCTCTCTCTCATCTTCAACCTTCATCTTACTACCAGAACTCTCCGGCAAAGCATCAAATCCATCCAGTTGAAGGAAGGGATACGTTTAATGTATTCTCCTTCTATTCTCCATCCAGTTGAAGGAAGGGATATGTTCAAATCCATCCCCCACCCCATATCTATTCCCCCCCTCTCTCTCTCTCATCTTCCACCTTCATCTTACTACCGGAACTCTCCGGCAAAGCATCAGAATTAGAGTTTTCCGGCGAAGACTTTTGGGCTGCCGAGCAATCATCCGATATAGATGAAGGTGTCGCCGTGGACTACTTGTGCCCACGGTGCTTGTAAACTCCGTCGAGACTGTGGACTGCTGACGGTGGTTCCAGCGACTTCAATTGTAAAGAATATGTTTTTTGAAGCGCACGTGAGGGTATTATTGTAACATGAACAATGGCGTTTCGAGTTAGACTCGCGACCCTCTCGACGAGACGACATTTGGGCTGTTCTTGAACAGAGACGACAGAGTTTGGGGCTGAGCAACTTGAATTTTCTGTTAATATATTTCAATGTATCTCGCTCTATTTCCATGTATTTCATTGCATTCATTGTCTTTTTTTTATTGTATTCAATGTATCTCGCTGTATTCCATGTATTTCATTGTATTCATTGTCTCGTTGTATTCCATGAATGTATTCATATATTTTTTTAATTAATATAATTTATGTATTCAGATGTATATATGTATTCAAATTGCTATGTTTTTGTTGTATTTATCGGCTGGAAAAAATATTCAGCATATTTTCTCTGAAGATTGCTATGTTTTTGGGGTGTTTTTCGGTTGAGAATCTTTTTAATAACTAGAAATACAAATTTTTTGTGTTATAATTTAGTTTGTTGAGTTATATTAGGAGTCTACTATGTTAATTGATTCACTTTCCATTTAAAAACAGCTGAATAGACCATGAATTATGCTATTTACGTTACTGTATTCACAAATATATATCGTGAATACAGTTAATTACAGTCGAATACAATAATCTGTCTAGCTGTAATCCCATGTTTCACGCCGTGAATACAGTCGAATACAAAAATCTGTCTAGCTGTAATCCCTTGTTTCACGCCTAGAAACGCTACTGTGCTCATGAATACAATAGCTTAAATACATCGAATACACTCTAAAAAACCTGAAAACATAGCTATAAGAAGTAATATAGTAAATGGTAGTTACAACTAGCTAATAACCAAACAATCGGTTTATGAAAATTTCTCTTTTATTAAAACACCTGCCCAGGTGGATGATAATGACTCCATCTTTATTTCCATTAGCAAAGAATCGTAGTGAAACAAAAGAGTCCATATGTATAGGTTTGGATAGAGAGCATATGGTTCTGTTCACTATCATCAAATTCAGCTTCTATAGCACAACTCTATCCAACACCACCCCTTGGCCCTGTGATTCGAATAAGTATTGGATGATCAAGCTAAGTATGAATACTTGTTCTTATCATATTTTGGCAGATAAATAATGTTGAAGTAGTCTAACTATAAACGTCAAAGAAATATAAAGCAGGTCATCTTTGCAAAAATATATCTCAATTGTTAGAACGAAACAGGTATAAAGACTCATTTTTCACAAGAATTTCTTGAGTAATCCCCACTAAAAATATCAAAAAGAATAGAAATGAAAATAGTATATAATCGTTTATGTATGCATGTGTGTGCACGTATATACATGGTTGGAACTACATGATCTGAAGGAGTTCAATTCATGAATCTTGATCTATATCAGGCAAAAGCAAGTCTTTTCGTTTCGTGTATACATAAATTGTTGATTCCTTGGAAAAACTTATTGTATATGGTGGCTAGGAGTGGCAAACGGGCTGGTCGGGTCAAATATGGTTCGGGTTGAAAACGAGTAATGAAAAAACGGATAAATTATCCGATCCGAACCATATTTAATACGGATAAAAAATGGGTTAACCGGCGGATAATATGAGTAACCTTATTATCCGGGACTTCTTGCATATGATCATTTGTGGGAGCTAGAATTCTTAGTTTCCCTAACTTGAGGAATCCCCAATTTAAGGCTTTACAAATGTAAAAGTTAGACCCATTGGTTATCCATTTTCTAAATGCATAATATGGTTCTTATCCATACTTGACCCGTTTTTAAAAAGTTCATTATCCAACCCATTTTTTAATGGATAATATGAGTGGTTAACTGTTTTCTTTTAACTATTTTACCGCCCCTAATGGTGTAAAGTTGGATCAGAAATTGTTTGAATTCCTTTGTTAGAATTTCTGATCTGACACTATGTATACAAGTGTGTTACAGGTATACGTGGACATATAAGTTAGAAAATACTGTTCTACCGTATAGAAAATTAGTCAAGAGCGAAGTCATAATAAACTGTTAACACTTCACTGGACATTTTTTCAATTTATGTGTAATTTTCCTAAGAATATACTCCAACATATTTTGCACATGCATGGCGTAAATCCAGTATGTTTGTTTCTATATACGCCACTTTGTGATGTTTGTTGGCCTTGCATGTCGAGCTATAGAGTTGGCAAAGAGAGGAAACGTCGACAAATTAAACACTAAAAATTAAATTACTACTTCCTTGTTACTCTTTTCTTTTGAATTGTTTTGAAAAAATAATTTTCTATATTAGAAAGCTCTTTAATTATATATTTTACTTGATATATTATGTACTTTTATATCGATAAAAAAGTCATCAGATGTTTAAGATTACATGCCATAAGGTACTCTTGGCATGTTATATATATTTTACTTATTTATCAACCATCTTTTTTTCTTAAATATTGTGCCTAGTTAGTTAAACAAAATAACTTTTGCTCGAACAATTCGTCTATCTTTTTAAGACATATACAACTTAATATACTGATAAAGTAATTTTTTTTATTAAACTATGAATATATTTTAACCTTTTCACAATAGGTTACTTTATTTTTTAAAAGTTTAGATATTAGACTTACTTTAAATATACTTTTTGTTGTAAATAACTTAATATGATTATGTAAAATAACCACGCGCTGTCAGTCTAGAGAAGTCAAAAACATTCAACATTACTTATATTATGTTTCGTGCGTTTATTTATTCATTTTGAATAAAATTTTGAAATATAGCAAAATTTAATATTACAGCAAAACGCACTCAGGTTCACAGAAACCCCAAAGGGAAACCTGGATGCCCATTGTCTACCTATAAAGCAATACCACTCAATTTAGCCTTGGTTGGAACAAGCTGAAAATATTATTCAAAGAAAAGAAGAAGAAAAAAGAGATAGTGAAAGACAAGAGAATCCAACTTATGCTGGGACAGGCAGACAGTGACATGACAGTCCACCTGGCTAAAAAGATTTGTCTGTCTAGTTATACACTATAACTACTACTAACAACATATATTAACTTCGATAATTATTCCGTCATTCTTAATCAAATATCTCATTCGAGCTACGGATATAAAGTAATTTTTGTCAGACAGTGTTTTACCTCCTAACATGAGATTTTCTCATGCGAATCCGAATTTAATCGGCCCCTAATATGAATATCGAGAAACAAAAAAAACATCATCATCAATTCAAAGAGAAAAGGAGAAAAAAACACTCATAATAAATAAGATAAAAATGGTTGTTATTGACCTCCATTGAAATCTTTCTTGATCTCTCTCTTCTTTATTTGGCTATACAAAACTCGTTTTTGACAAAAGAGTAAAAACTAAGAGAGGAAAATCATATTTGTAATGATACCATATTACATTTTTGTAAATTAAATATATGGACCTAATCAAATATTTTGATTAATACTTTGAGTTAATGGTGATGATGACCATGATTAGGAGGTGGCAATGCAGTAAGGCTCCCAAATTATTAGTGATCTCTTTGGCTCTTTGCAACTTCTCAACAAAGGCACCAAATTGTTCATAGATGCCTTGTTCCCTCTAATTAGCACCAAGTCCTGCTGCTGCTCATATGCTGCTATCTTTGTGGTACCACTGGCTTTGAGATCAGTACCATTGGCTGCTGCTACTGCTACAAATTGCTTATAGTAGTTGTTCTTGCTGCATTGGTCTGCAGTAGATGAATTATTCACAATGTTTGCCACTGTTGGCTTCTTCCTCCAAAAGTAATCGTATGCATTTAAAGAGGCTGCAGCTGCCGGTGGTGGTGGTGACTGATTAATCGTTGAAGGACAAGTGTAGCATTCTCTAAAAATACTATCTTTCACCTCATGTTCCATCATCGAGTTTAGTGAGTTGTTGAACTTGTTGCTAAGATCGTAATAACCAGGTGTCACGCTGAAACTAACACATTTAGACCACGTTAGTTGATTTTTTTTCTCTAAAATCAGGGCTGATGATTTGTTCACATTTATCACCTCATTCGACAATCTTGAACTTTTTTCCATCACACCAATATTGTCGAAAACTTGCTCAAACTCTTCAACTTGATCCGCCATTTCTAGTTCTGGCTCATCTGCTGCACAATCATTTTGATTGATGTAGGTGAGACGAAGGCAGCCATCAACACGTTGGGCATGGAAATAGTTCATAGGTGGAACAGAAACTGCTTCAAGAATCAATCTACCATTTTGTCTGAGTGATTGCATGTGTACAGAAGGGAGAGGAGGAGGAAAAGATTTAGGAGAAGATGAGTTTTTGCTATAATTATACTTTACAACAGGAATATCCTCGAAAGATTGTAAGACAGAGGAATGTTGTTGTTGGTGTTGATAATGATGATCAACTTCTAAGTCTTCATTTTTAGGAGGTGAAGAGGAAAAGCAATCAGAGCCAGTCTCTGATCCAAGACTCTCAGTACAAATTTCAAGACTTTTCTTACTCAAACAACTGCCTGATGTTTTAACAAGAGGATGAATATAAGGTGGTGGAATCTTAGATGAGTCAGCTTCTTCATTCTTTGAAGATAGAATTGAACTCCAATCAAATGTTCTATTCGGCTCATCTTTGAGTTGTTCTTCTTCCCCATCTGAAGAAGAAGAAGAAGAAGAAGAATCACAAATTTTCGAAATGGAAGACATATCAGCTGAAAGAGTTCTTCTAATAGAAGTTGCAGCTTTAATGCTTCTTTGATCAGTGTTTGGTCCAAGAATTGACATTATTCCTTGTTTTTCTTCCATCTTTAAGGACAAGTTGACCTTATTCATGTTAACACATTGTGCTGACATCTTGAAGTAAATCAAAGACAAAATATTTTAAGCAAAAGGGAAATATGGAGGAAATTTATGAAGATGATGGAATTGGTATTTTTTTTTTGTTTTGTTTGGGCTGATTCGATGGAAAATACAAGGGTGGGTGTCAGGGTATTTATAGGAGCTCAAAAGGCCTTTGGAATCTTGTGCAAAGGGACCACCATGAATAATGGAATACTTAAAAAGACTACTTTTTTTCTTCTTCTTTTTTTTTCCTTGAATATTGTTCCTTCTCTTGGTTCCATTTTATTTTTTTGCTTCCCGCCCTCTGTTAAGTATCCGCTTTGAAATTCGGATTAATTTGAATTTACATGGGGAAGGAGCTTTTTTGCTAGAAGTTTTTTTTTTCCAGAAAGTTCGAATCCGGGACCTCTATATTCTACCACAATCCTTTGGGGTCATTTGGTTTGAAGGCAAGTTGTGCTGGAATTAGTTATGATGGGAATAATTATACTAGTATTAGTTGTGCTGGGATTAGTTATCCGGGTATTATTTCTTACTGACTGTTTGGTATATTGTATTAATCTTGGGATTGTCAATTTTACTGCTTTATCTTGGGATAACTTATTTACTATTCAACACTATGAAACGTATAAGTTATCTGAGTATTATTTTTACTCTTGTATAAGTTATTCCAGGATTAATAACCAACCAAGGGATAACGCGTACTAAATTTTTAACCTGTGATTATTTTTGCTTATCCATTATACCAGACGACCCCTTAATGGTTATTGGTTCCATATTAGTTTTTTTTAAGAGGAAAATGGGGGAAATGATTACATGGTAGGTAATGAAACCCTCACCAACAAGATGAAAGTCCCAATTTCACAGCCGTAGATATAGGAATTTTGAGAATACACCTTAACGATCAATGGTTAACGATGGTTCTGATGGGTGATTTTTCTAGAATCAGCAATAGTGAGATCAATATTTTAGTAAATGATGCGGAAAAGGATAGTATATTGATCCACAAAAAGCTCAGCAAACTCTTGAAATAGCGGAAGCTAATTAATGTGAAAAAGGTGAAGTAAGGAGACAAAAAATTGAGGCAAATCTAGCTCTCCAATGAGCTAGAACACATGTAGAAGCTATCAATTCACAAGTAGCTAGCCAACTGAACTACTAAGATTTTCCGTTGTTGTGAGTTTCATGTTAAATTGATTAATTTTGAGGGCATATATATCATCTAAGTTTCTAAAATTGAGAAAACAATATTGGATGGTTTTCAAGTTTAGAAATATTATCAAATACTTTAATTAACTCTGGTTGCAAGAGATCACATATTGAATTTTTTTTATAGAAGCTTTTTATTTAAAAAAAATGAAGGAAAAGAAGTTTGCGCGAAACATAGTGTGTATAGAGTATACACATAGTAAATTTTGAAGTTTTGTGAGTCATTTTTAGCTTCAAAAGATAATTGATCGGAGACACGCGACAGATAACTTCTTCACCCATATAATTTTGAGGGGAAAAAAAGCTTTTTGAGAAAACTTTAGAACTAATAATGATTTTTTTAAGAAAAAAGAATTTTCAATTATTTTAAAACCTTATACGTCCAAATGGTATATGCTAACAATAATTTGACTGCACATTTTATAATTGTGACCTTGTGGCTAAATTTAGGAAAGTTAGTTGAATAGAGGGAATTATATTTTTTTCCCTCTTGATTGACAAGCTTGGAATCTATCCAATGTTTGGTGTTTACTGTTATTCAATCTGTATTACTGTAATAATCAATAAAAACATTTAACTTTCTGAAATAGAAACAGAAACAGAAAGTTAGTAGAACCAGTTTAACGAAATAAATTCTGAAAAACAGTATAGCTAGGAATAAATCGAGTCCACTGAATACACAGTGTGTTCTTAAGAAAATTATTCCCCACAAGTACCCGAGGTGCTGGAATATATCCTCCCAGGATAGAACGATTTAACTCATCAGTGTATTGGTACCAAAAACTCCGGTAAACTTCGAACCACTCGATGGTCGTAAAACACACTGGAAAATATTGTGCAGAAGAAGAAGATAAGCAGAAAATTTAGTAAATAAAGATTTTGGGATTCAAGGCATATTTATAGACCATTTGGTACTGTTTCTGGAAAGGTTTGCAGCTTTTTAGAAACAACCATAGCTGTTAGAACAGGTGGGAAGATATATTCCGAAAAAACAGAAAACGAATTTTAAAATAATTCGGGAAAGAAAACGGACCGGACCGGACCAGGCCGCGTGTCATGGGTTATTCCGGATTGAATTTTTGTTAATTAATTAAATTAAATTAGTAAATAATTGAAAGGAATTTTGTCCAAAAAGATTAATCAATCAATCTTTGACCGAATCCGAATCCGAATCCAAATCCGAAGCTGAAGCCGAAGCCGGAGCCGGAGCCGGAGCCGGAGCCGAAGCCGAGCCGAGCCGAGCGAGCGACGACAACGACGGCGCGATGCTTGGGTTCTTCTTAACTCTTTAAAAGTTAGAAGAAGAGAAATTGTATATATACCCATCAAAATTCTCTTCTTCCTCCAATATGGGACAATGTCCTATTGCCAAGGAGGGAAACTCAAATATTTTGTTTTCCCTCCATTTCCCATTCACCCTCTTTAAGCTACACCAAACTTAAAAACCCAACAATTTCCCGCATGAATGGGGAATGGCTATAAAATAAAGGAATGCACGGACGCATGTGTGTTTTACATGCAAGAATTAATTGCATCTGGATAAGTAGGTTTCCCTTTGAACTTTCCGTAGTGAACTTATATCGGATATACTTGGTCAATCGGTAGATAATATGATTCAACTTCTCAGAGTGAAAGGAACAGCTGAGAGACCAGGTCCCTACCAGTTCTCGAGGAGACTGTACGAAGTCAACTCTGCAGCTGGAAAATTGATGCCTGCACACGCTACTGTGCAGAACAGTAGCTATTGTGCAGAACAGTGTTGCAGTCAACTTTCTAGGGAAGACTTTTTTACCTACCTTGCTTGCATCATTGTAAGTGTTGTCACACATGTATATATGCATGCAAGGGAGGTAAAACAAATTACTTGAACATTTGACAAGCTTACCAACATGACTATTCAGCTAGCAAGTTTCAAGTGTCTCAAGAACGAAGAACAAAGCAACTACGGACCAGTTCCCACATCGAGTTATTGTATGTCCTTAGTTGAGTTGTAACTTTGTAATAGTTCTTCAAATTGTAATTCCATCCATCTTATTTAGAAGCACTTTATAGGAACATTTTTGTAAATCTTAAACCTGCGTGTTTAAGTCTTGACTAGAGTTAGTCAAGTTTTAAAGTCTTTGTAATAGAGTTATTGCAAAGTGGCTTGTAATATGTGTATTACAAGTTAGTGAGGGATTAAGAGTTTAATTTCTAGGTTGCATAGGTTGTAATCTGAAAGTTTGCTCAGTAGTGAAGTTGAAATCCTACAAGGGTAGATTGTGGTTTTTAATCCCGTTGAGCTAGGAAGTTTCCACGTAAAATTCCTCTTGTCATTTAACTTGTGTTCTGTGTGTGTGTGTGTACTGTTGAACCTGATAGAGAATCTGGTTCTCTATGGAAGTTGGTGGACCCATACATTCTATCAATTGGTATCAGAGCAGGTTCTTTCTATCAGGTTAGCACCTAGAAAGGATCCTCATGGCTGCTCTTCCAAACTTCGGAGAAGGCCAGTCCACGTACAGACCTCCTAGGTTCAATGGTCAATACTAAGGGTGGTGGAAAGCTAGGATGCATGACTTCATCATGGCTGAAGACTCTGAGTTATGGAATGTAATATGTGACAGACCTTTTGTCCCTACAAAGAACCTTAGTGATCTAGCTGTAGCCATTCCCAAGACGAGGAAGGAATTCAATGATGCTGATAGAAAGGCCATAGAAAAGAATTTTTGAGCAAAGAAAATTCTTGTGTGTGATATTGGTCTTGATAAATATAATAGGATATCAGCTTGTCAATCAGCAAAAGAGATCCGGGAGGCTCTTCAGACAGCTCACGAGGGAACAACTCAGGTGAAACAATCCAAGATTGATATGCTCACAATAGAATATGAGCTCTTCAGAATGAAAGATGATGAATCCATCCAAGATATGCATAATCGATTCACCTCCATCATCAATGAGCTTCACTCTCTTGGTTAAAGTATTGCAAGAAACACGCTTGTCAGAAAAATTCTTAGTGTACTGCCCAGTTCTTGGGAAAGCAAAGTTAATGCCATTACCGAGGCTAAGGACTTGCAAACATTGACCATGGATGAACTTGTTGGAAACTTGAAAACCTATAAAATGACGAAGAAGAAGGACAATGAAAGAAGAGAGCCCAAGAGGGAAAAGAACATGGTCCTTAAGACGGATAACAAGGACTCAAGTGGTGAAGACGGGGACATGACTCACTTGACAAAAAGGTTCCAGAAGATGGTTCGCAGGAATGGAGGCATTCCAAAAAGGGGAAGCTCTAGCAAGCCCAGAAATTATGACCTCTGTCATAAATGTGGCAAGCCTGGACACTTCATCAAGGGTTTCCCCCTCCTAAAGCAAGATCAGTATAATAACAACTTTGACAAAGCAGCAAAGAGGAACCAGGTTCCTGACAAATGCTTCAAGAGAAAGAATGATACTGACAATGTTGTAAAGCAAGCTCTTGCTGCATGGGGAGACTCCTCCAGCGAATCTGAAGAAGAAGACGACCATGGTGGCAATTCAATGATGGCAGTGGAAAATGAAACAACTGAGTATGATTCAATCTTTGCTCTAATGGCTCAATCTGATAACGATGAAGATGACGACGGTGATGAGGTAAACTTTCTGGATGTTCAGAGAAATCTGAAATCTTACTCTCCTAAAAAGCTCATGTCATTAGCAAATGTGCTAATTGATGCTTACCATAGTCTTATCAATAATAAAGATGCCTTAACTATGGAACTAGGGGAAGCTAAACAAACCAGAAATGACTTAGTAGTCGTTGTAGTTGATTTGAAACAAACAATAGAGAACCTGAAAAGAAAAAGGAATGCCTTAGAAGAGAAAATTGCTAGTATAGAACATGAACGAGATGATTTAATGGTGGTTGTGGTGGACTTA